AACCTCTGATTAGCGAATTAGGGTAGCTCCGCTATGCTTGATAGCACTTTTGGTCAATCTACACCTGAGTCTATTTGAAATCGTTCATTTGTAAGGACGAAAACAAATGTAATCTCTCCGGGACCCAAAAATTAGTGCTTTAGAAACCCAGAGAGATAGTCGGGAACAAACAAGTGAATTTAATTCTCGCACATTGTCCTGACGTAATTTGTGCACATCTCGACACTTTCACAAAATTTGAGTCCACATCATTAGGCTAGTACAAGAGAATTAGGTATCTGCCATGCCTACTCGGTGTGTCCCCGTACCCGATGAATAGCCAAAGTCTTCTCGAATTCCTGAAAAGCTCCAACTTCATCTACAAGTATGGCTTGTATTTACCTTCCCAGTAACTTTTACGAAGTCTTTTGGCGTAACCTCTGATTAGCGAATTAGGGTAGCTCCGCTATGCTTGATAGCACTTTTGGTCAATCTACACCTGAGTCTATTTGAAATCGTTCATTTGTAAGGACGAAAACAAATGTAATCTCTCCGGGACCCAAAAATTAGTGCTTTAGAAACCCAGAGAGATAGTCGGGAACAAACAAGTGAATTTAATTCTCGCACATTGTCCTGACGTAATTTGTGCACATCTCGACACTTTCACAAAATTTGAGTCCACATCATTAGGCTAGTACAAGAGAATTAGGTATCTGCCATGCCTACTCGGTGTGTCCCCGTACCCGATGAATAGCCAAAGGCTCTCTTCATCGTCATGACTGTAAAGGCATTTGAGGGAAATGAAGGGCAGAATCTTCTTCTGTGGGTAGAGAGGTGAAAATAGACTGAACTTCGCTTTGCTCCAATTGGAGCAACGGCGATTCGGGATGGCTATCTTAAAACTAAATTATTGATCCAGAGAATGGGATCTCACACGTAGCACGTCTGTAGACGAAGCTTCTCAGCATGGATGTAATAAAACAGCAAAAATACCAAGTGTCTGCTCCGCCTCATATGGTATATTGAGTGCGTATTTTTTCTCGTTTCTTATCTGCCCGACAGAGCAAGAATTAACTATTGAACCATGTTCAGGAACTTAGATCTTTGATCGTTGCCGTTTAGCTTGATCCTTTACCAAAATCGTTTAAATTACCGTCTTGATGAAGGGACTTCGCACGGGCGTGGCTCGAACGGAGTTATTCCGGGTACACCCCACCTGCTTTGAGGCGGCTGTGAATATTGCGTTTAATACTAAGTTCAACGTTGATGCAGCACGTTTTGGCAAACTTAGATGAAATCCAAAAATGGCAGACTTATTTAGTCCATTCAATCAGCCGGAGCCTATCGACATCAGTCTCGCCGATAAGGACGCAGTCGAAAAAATTTGAGCTGCATAATATGATCAAGAGATGTAACGATGTTTCACGTGCGGAAGCACAAAGCACCAACGAACAAATTGTCCTTTACGCAAATGCCCGCCATTGAAACTTCAGGAAGAACTGCCGCCGCTTACTAAGGGTTTGGTTCAGTGCAGGAAAAATATAATCCTATTAAACGCAGGTTCTCTACTGATGAGAAAATAAGATCTGTTGAGCATCTTTGAAGTAGTGGCGAGCAGAAACTATCCTCAAAGAGTATTGTGCACTCTAATAGGAGTAGTAAATACAAGCCAGTCTTGTTGTTCGCATAAGCGACTCCCAATGGCTTTGACAGATCCTGATGGATTTTAATTTAACTCAGGAGTATCCGGTAATGATGTCAGACGCTTTTTTCTTTAAGCGAATACACAATTTGTTAAGGCTCTAAGCGCACGGGGGTGATACGATCGCTGTTCTCTTGGCGAAAAGAACTCTAGTCACGGCACCCAATGTTCTTGTGAACTTGGGTGTTAAGCTTTTGAGATCAGTAGTATCGCGCTGTTTAGTTCTTAATTGGACTCGAGATACATTTCATTGTTTGTACGGCTTAGCTTGAGCGCCATGAACCATGGATTGAATAAAGGTCGAAAACATTAGGCGCTACTCGCACTGTCCCAAGCGCAGTTTTGGAGATTCGTAAACCCACCTCTTTCAGGAACCAGAAGAGTTAATGGAGTGAGCCACTAGCTATCAATTTTAGTATGCTTAACATCGGAATTCCAGAGTTAGCTAATTCTGACCATTTCAAAGACACGACTATAGAGCAGAGTTCGATCTGTGGTAGTGAAGCGGCATGTATTCCGTGAAGCGATAGACGTTGTGAAAGCAAAGTAATGAATGCTGTAAGCATTGCTGAACAGCTTCGAGTCATCGAGAATTGTACTTATCAGATAGGCGTGGAGTGGTGCGTAAGTACCCACGAAGTGACTTTGGCAGTGAAGACGACGCGCTGTACGTCAACATTGACGTTTTTAGTGAAAGTAAGGCATCCCGAGCCCGGGTCCGTGGATGCACGTGAAATAACACGTAATGCTCGTGATGACTGAATTATTTTCAATAACTTGTTCTTGGATATCGATAGTGAAGTCAGCTCTACATAAGAAAAAATTACGTTCGATGACGATATCATTGAAAGAGATACAAATCACACTTTGCGTGCTTTGTCATATGGTGATGATGACTTTCAGCTGTATACACTCGTCAAAGTAATGACTGGATCCTTTGATGGTAGAATTAACCTAAAGGCTATACCCTCATTAAGATCGCAATTAGAATTTAAACAGTTGTCGATCGATAATTTAATCACCCACTGAGGAATGGGGATCCTTCGGATGTGGCGATTATGATTCCCGACATCACTAATATAATATTCTTTACTTATGGATAAAGCCGTTTGGAGGATTATAAGCGGTACTCAGTGCGCTTCGTGAGTCATCAGTTATGAAAGCCTCTCATGATCTTTATATTGTTTGGTCAAGGACTTTTAAGATTGGTTGAGCCACTACACACCCTCGGAAAGAAGTTTCTTCGAAACTACATGGTTGGGTAGTACTAATTAAAGTGCACTCGACTTGGTAATGGAAAGTTTCAATTGATCATGCGAGCGAGTGATATTCCGCTTGCAGCAGCGAGCACTCCTAGTGGTATGCCATGGTAATATCTGGTGACGCCTTAGGAACTTTTTATACTCCGGCAACATTTAATGAACTGTTGACGCAACTCTAATCGGGACTACTCACAAATGTGCTTTGTATACATTTTTAGTCCATAGTCGTTCCAAACAATGTCTATCGGATAGTAAAAATCATATCGGTCATTTGCAAGCCGTGCTCGAGCGCATGCGTACTAATAAAGAGTACGCCAACACATTTGGATGAACTGATGGTGCAGAGAAGATTCCTTTGATCTACATTTTCACTGGTGAGTGCGGCCTTAGTGCGAATATCGCTAATTTCAAGATTCTAGTGGACTCTACAATTCCTAATAATAAAATGGACTTGCGTAAGTGGCTTGGACTTTCTATTATACTATGGCTCGGCCCTTAACTAATCTCCTCTAAAAAGACATAAATCGGCGCTGGGACAACACTCGTGCTGACGCATTTCGGTCAATCAATGAGAGTCTCCTCCATACTCCCATCTTAGCATTGCTGTATTCTTAGTATCCTTTCAGGGTTTTCTGCAAAGGATCCGACTATGTCATAGGCAGCTCTTTGTAACAAACAGATGCTGGAGGAAAAATGAGAGTTATCGTATTTAAAAACCTTCAGCTAAAAGCTGCAAAAATAATCGTTCATTTAGTGACATGGATCTAATTGCAATAAAGCATGGTATCGCCAAATATAAAGCTCTTCATTTTACATTAATCGATTCGTAGTATAGAAGGATCTTGCGTCATGACGGACGGGAACGCATTCGCCTCACCTCTCTCAGAGGATGGCTCGGTAGGTTTCCTTCTTTGCGAGATATAACTTCGAGGTGAAGTACAAGCCTGGAAAACAAAATGTGTTGGCAGATTATATCTTTTGCCAATCAAAAATGAGCTTCCTATTTCACGACTTAGTTGTCTCCTAATGAAGAATTCATTTGCGTGGCATTTCCACATGGCCCTCGGTGTGTGACATGATTATGCGCTTATGCGTGAGACTTACGAAGACTAGGCCATAGATGTATCCTCACGCTTGCGAGACAGTCTACATCGACACACCATCGATAACTCTCGCTTGTTCAATTGCCGGGTGTATACGTAACTGCTTGCTTTGTTGTGCCTCAAAATATGTAAGTAAGTGTTCAATCATCTTTTAGGCCCATCGATACTGCCCTCAGTGAGCATTTGGTTAGGGAAAAGCCTTCTGAAGCTTTAATTCAACACTACCGGTTACCAGGACTCAACAGATGAGTGATCACAGACGTGATTGCGTGCGAATCGTTCCAGCGTGTCAAATCATCTACACATTTTACTGCGGCACTCTCCATTCATCTGTGCCCACCGAGTGTCGGAATTCGATTAGTATAGATAATGTGTTTGGTCTACACTAGGACTGTGACGAGAATCAGGGAATCGTGGTCTTTGTTGACGTCCTAAGCCAGATGGCTCACTTTGCAGCAGTACCGGATTCCATCGATGGCATAGATACAGCTATGCTGTTTATCGATTGTGTGTTTTCGTCGACTCAGGTCCTGTTGACAATCATCTTTGATCGCGACCCTCAATCGCATTAACGATTTAAAATTCCATCTTCAAGGTGATTTCCACGCAATTAAAAATATACACCGCGGACAATCCGCAGACAGGTGGTTAAAATGAGCGCGCTAATCGCTTCGTCGGCGATGTTCGCTGCAGGTTTTTCGCTGGATAGACTATCATTTAGAGCTCGATGCTCTCTGTCCTCGAATCTGCACTAAACTACGCTGTACATGTATCGACCGGCTGAAAAATCCCTATGATGATAGCATCACGCATCCCCGCGTTTCGCCCACTATACCACTGTGTGGGTTTGGGCTAGACGGGTGAGAGTCTGCTGGAAAGCTCGATGAAAGTAGTCCTACCACGATGTAGATACAATGAGCGAGTTTCTCACGACGCATTTTAATGTCTCACGCCATGTGGGCAATGGCTGATAGCCAGGACAAAAAAACAAACAAGTTGACACTTAAGTCAAAGGATGTATTGATTCATGTGCATTTGTATAGTAAGTATCACTAAATGCTATAAACTTACCTACATATATAGTAGAAACGGCTTCATAACAACTTGGTTAGCACGCTTCGTCGGGCCGTTCACGGTCATATCCAATACGGGCATTTCCTCTGCACTCAATCTTTTGCACAAGTTGCGCACACAACCATTGTTTTACGCTGGCTTGCTTAAGCCATATCATTAGATTTTCTTGTGCACAGGAAGGCGCGTGCGCCTGAAGGAGGTAATTTGTTCCCACTAATTCCATCTTCTTCAATAGTTCCATTCGGCCATCCATTCATCGAGGCTGGTTTAACTTCACCTTCTGCAGTCGTTTCTCGACCGAGTCGAGCCCCCCCCCCCCCCCCCCCCCCCCCCCCCCCCCCCCCCCCCCCCCCCCCCCCCCCCCCCCCCCCCCCCCCCCCCCCCCCCCCCCCCCCCCCCCCCCCCCCCCCCCCCCCCCCCCCCCCCCCCCCCCCCCCCCCCCCCCCCCCCCCCCCCCCCCCCCCCCCCCCCCCCCCCCCCCCCCCCCCCCCCCCCCCCCCCCCCCCCCCCCCCCCCCCCCCCCCCCCCCCCCCCCCCCCCCCCCCCCCCCCCCCCCCCCCCCCCCCCCCCCCCCCCCCCCCCCCCCCCCCCCCCCCCCCCCCCCCCCCCCCCCCCCCCCCCCCCCCCCCCCCCCCCCCCCCCCCCCCCCCCCCCCCCCCCCCCCCCCCCCCCCCCCCCCCCCCCCCCCCCCCCCCCCCCCCCCCCCCCCCCCCCCCCCCCCCCCCCCCCCCCCCCCCCCCCCCCCCCCCCCCCCCCCCCCCCCCCCCCCCCGATACGGTTCATGGGCCCCCCCCCCCCCCCCCCCCCCCCCCCCCCCCCCCCCCCCCCCCCCCCCCCCCCCCCCCCCCCCCCCCCCCCCCCCCCCCCCCCCCCCCCCCCCCCCCCCCCCCCCCCCCCCCCCCCCCCCCCCCCCCCCCCCCCCCCCCCCCCCCCCCCCCCCCCCCCCCCCCCCCCCCCCCCCCCCCCCCCCCCCCCCCCCCCCCCCCCCCCCCCCCCCCCCCCCCCCCCCCCCCCCCCCCCCCCCCCCCCCCCCCCCCCCCCCCCCCCCCCCCCCCCCCCCCCCCCCCCCCCCCCCCCCCCCCCCCCCCCCCCCCCCCCCCCCCCCCCCCCCCCCCCCCCCCCCCCCCCCCCCCCCCCCCCCCCCCCCCCCCCCCCCCCCCCCCCCCCCCCCCCCCCCCCCCCCCCCCCCCCCCCCCCCCCCCCCCCCCCCCCCCCCCCCCCCCCCCCCCCCCCCCCCCCCCCCCCCCCCCCCCCCCCCCCCCCCCCCCCCCCCCCCCCCCCCCCCCCCCCCCCCCCCCCCCCCCCCCCCCCCCCCCCCCCCCCCCCCCCCCCCCCCCCCCCCCCCCCCCCCCCCCCCCCCCCCCCCCCCCCCCCCCCCCCCCCCCCCCCCCCCCCCCCCCCCCCCCCCCCCCCCCCCCCCCCCCCCCCCCCCCCCCCCCCCCCCCCCCCCCCCCCCCCCCCCCCCCCCCCCCCCCCCCCCCCCCCCCCCCCCCCCCCCCCCCCCCCCCCCCCCCCCCCCCCCCCCCCCCCCCCCCCCCCCCCCCCCCCCCCCCCCCCCCCCCCCCCCCCCCCCCCCCCCCCCCCCCCCCCCCCCCCCCCCCCCCCCCCCCCCCCCCCCCCCCCCCCCCCCCCCCCCCCCCCCCCCCCCCCCCCCCCCCCCCCCCCCCCCCCCCCCCCCCCCCCCCCCCCCCCCCCCCCCCCCCCCCCCCCCCCCCCCCCCCCCCCCCCCCCCCCCCCCCCCCCCCCCCCCCCCCCCCCCCCCCCCCCCCCCCCCCCCCCCCCCCCCCCCCCCCCCCCCCCCCCCCCCCCCCCCCCCCCCCCCCCCCCCCCCCCCCCCCCCCCCCCCCCCCCCCCCCCCCCCCCCCCCCCCCCCCCCCCCCCCCCCCCCCCCCCCCCCCCCCCCCCCCCCCCCCCCCCCCCCCCCCCCCCCCCCCCCCCCCCCCCCCCCCCCCCCCCCCCCCCCCCCCCCCCCCCCCCCCCCCCCCCCCCCCCCCCCCCCCCCCCCCCCCCCCCCCCCCCCCCCCCCCCCCCCCCCCCCCCCCCCCCCCCCCCCCCCCCCCCCCCCCCCCCCCCCCCCCCCCCCCCCCCCCCCCCCCCCCCCCCCCCCCCCCCCCCCCCCCCCCCCCCCCCCCCCCCCCCCCCCCCCCCCCCCCCCCCCCCCCCCCCCCCCCCCCCCCCCCCCCCCCCCCCCCCCCCCCCCCCCCCCCCCCCCCCCCCCCCCCCCCCCCCCCCCCCCCCCCCCCCCCCCCCCCCCCCCCCCCCCCCCCCCCCCCCCCCCCCCCCCCCCCCCCCCCCCCCCCCCCCCCCCCCCCCCCCCCCCCCCCCCCCCCCCCCCCCCCCCCCCCCCCCCCCCCCCCCCCCCCCCCCCCCCCCCCCCCCCCCCCCCCCCCCCCCCCCCCCCCCCCCCCCCCCCCCCCCCCCCCCCCCCCCCCCCCCCCCCCCCCCCCCCCCCCCCCCCCCCCCCCCCCCCCCCCCCCCCCCCCCCCCCCCCCCCCCCCCCCCCCCCCCCCCCCCCCCCCCCCCCCCCCCCCCCCCCCCCCCCCCCCCCCCCCCCCCCCCCCCCCCCCCCCCCCCCCCCCCCCCCCCCCCCCCCCCCCCCCCCCCCCCCCCCCCCCCCCCCCCCCCCCCCCCCCCCCCCCCCCCCCCCCCCCCCCCCCCCCCCCCCCCCCCCCCCCCCCCCCCCCCCCCCCCCCCCCCCCCCCCCCCCCCCCCCCCCCCCCCCCCCCCCCCCCCCCCCCCCCCCCCCCCCCCCCCCCCCCCCCCCCCCCCCCCCCCCCCCCCCCCCCCCCCCCCCCCCCCCCCCCCCCCCCCCCCCCCCCCCCCCCCCCCCCCCCCCCCCCCCCCCCCCCCCCCCCCCCCCCCCCCCCCCCCCCCCCCCCCCCCCCCCCCCCCCCCCCCCCCCCCCCCCCCCCCCCCCCCCCCCCCCCCCCCCCCCCCCCCCCCCCCCCCCCCCCCCCCCCCCCCCCCCCCCCCCCCCCCCCCCCCCCCCCCCCCCCCCCCCCCCCCCCCCCCCCCCCCCCCCCCCCCCCCCCCCCCCCCCCCCCCCCCCCCCCCCCCCCCCCCCCCCCCCCCCCCCCCCCCCCCCCCCCCCCCCCCCCCCCCCCCCCCCCCCCCCCCCCCCCCCCCCCCCCCCCCCCCCCCCCCCCCCCCCCCCCCCCCCCCCCCCCCCCCCCCCCCCCCCCCCCCCCCCCCCCCCCCCCCCCCCCCCCCCCCCCCCCCCCCCCCCCCCCCCCCCCCCCCCCCCCCCCCCCCCCCCCCCCCCCCCCCCCCCCCCCCCCCCCCCCCCCCCCCCCCCCCCCCCCCCCCCCCCCCCCCCCCCCCCCCCCCCCCCCCCCCCCCCCCCCCCCCCCCCCCCCCCCCCCCCCCCCCCCCCCCCCCCCCCCCCCCCCCCCCCCCCCCCCCCCCCCCCCCCCCCCCCCCCCCCCCCCCCCCCCCCCCCCCCCCCCCCCCCCCCCCCCCCCCCCCCCCCCCCCCCCCCCCCCCCCCCCCCCCCCCCCCCCCCCCCCCCCCCCCCCCCCCCCCCCCCCCCCCCCCCCCCCCCCCCCCCCCCCCCCCCCCCCCCCCCCCCCCCCCCCCCCCCCCCCCCCCCCCCCCCCCCCCCCCCCCCCCCCCCCCCCCCCCCCCCCCCCCCCCCCCCCCCCCCCCCCCCCCCCCCCCCCCCCCCCCCCCCCCCCCCCCCCCCCCCCCCCCCCCCCCCCCCCCCCCCCCCCCCCCCCCCCCCCCCCCCCCCCCCCCCCCCCCCCCCCCCCCCCCCCCCCCCCCCCCCCCCCCCCCTGCTCAAGTAACTTAAATAAATCGATAAACTACTGTTCATTATCGCGTTGTATATAGTTAAGGATCTCCTGAAGGATGCTATCCTCAGCTACCGACTGACCAAGTGCAGTCTGCACATGAGCGGAATTCTTGTGGAATTGCTGCATCTCTGACGCCTCATTCTTCATGAGTCAATGCTGATTCAACAACACGCTTCCGCGTTGATTGACGATCCGGAAGCTTGCAGATCCAAGTGGGGTACTTCTGAAGCGGCGTCATCACAAACTTCAGAACAAGTACTTGGTTAAGTGGCGTGGCATGGAAGTTTGAGATTACCATTCGACAACTTTTTCCGTACGCTGCTGATGTTTTGAGCGTCGCGCTGAAGGTCTTCTTGCGTCCCAAAGTAAATTGCACCAATATATGTGGGGTGTACGGCTCGCTCACCAACACCAAATAACCCGCGACTTTCTGCACAGCATAAACAGTGATACTTTGAACATTAACAAGTTTTGCATAATGGTTATGATAAAGATGCGTAGCTGACCTTTGACCTTCAACTTTACAGCTCATAGTGCAGTTTGCGTGCTAACCGAGCGTTGGCCTTTGGTGCAATGGCTCTTAGGGAATTTTTGTTACGCAAGCGATGTGCACAATATGCTCAACGAGTGAGCATGCTACTATCTTCGGCCCAAATCTCTTTGGAGTACAAAGAGTGTAGAGGCACCACGTTACTGTTCCGTAAAGTCGAGATTTTAATTACAGATCGTCGTGGATTCAAAAATTAAGTCCCTCTTTCACTGAGAGCATCTCATTCGTCAATGCCACCGAAGGCCACAGCCTTGCGTCTTCTGCGACAATTAATTAAGGGCTACCCTGCGAGCTTTTGCAACAACTCATTGGCGCTCAAAGATCTTAAAGTGAAAGCCTAGGCTCGTATGGCCTTAGCAATAGCTGATGTATACGATAGACCTTCAGCTCTCTCATTCTACTCATGAAAGCTTTGCTGTCGATCATCGAGATTGTTTGTGATGATATGCGCGTCACGCGTGATTGAAGCACGCACCACCGTTAATGATTGAGACATACTTCGTTCTGGAAATAGGCTTGGCGCTATGCGCGAAGGCTCGCGCATCTTTGAAGAATTGGGTTCGGGGGTTACACTCTCTTTCAAGATGGTGTCACAATCATATTAAACCATGCCTTATTCTCGCATAATATCTGCCAAATAATCGGAGGAATGTTGAAGATTTTTCATTGACGCACAACGTTTTTTAAACATAACCTAGAGATAATCTGTTCTTTCTGAGATGTCTCCTTGAAAAGGTGAAGAATGTCGATAAGGGTATCAACTATTTATTGGGGGAGGGTATAACAGGTGTCCCCACAAAGGGCCGTATTAACCAGGTACATTGGTGTAATAAACGCAGAAACATTTCAATGCCACTACTAAGGCCTACTATTGTATAACATACGTTAAGCAATGTTACCGTTGTCTACCGATTTTGGTTAGAAGATATCTATCGTAAGAGGATCTTCATACAGGCGACGTAGCTCTGGTGTGGTATACAAGATTAACAAAGATGAGGACAATTCGATTAGATAGCATCATTTAAGGCTAAAGATGAAGTAAAGTTTATTCTTCTTATTAATAAGTGAATAAATTCGGTTCCTTTTTTGATAAGTTTTAAAAGCGTGTCTTTTTAAGACGTCTCTGGTCGTTCGAGTTAAGTTCCTGAGTCAAAGCTGAGTTAATTTTGGGCGTAAGTGCCACGTGATTCCTTGGAGTCGTAGTTCACGGAAACAGGACTGGAAGCATAAGAGCTTGTGAACACACTTAGAGTCAAGTCTCACCAAGTGTGCAAGACTTGTTCTCCTTTAATCTATTATTCACTTAATTCGATATACTAAGAGACTCGACAAGTCTAGATGTCTTCCTTACATAAAAAGGTAAAGGTTACTACGCTTCAGCGAGTGTAAAATGACATTCTTGCTCTTCATTCACATCCTTTGTCTCCACAAGCTGCACATCTCGTTGTCACTGCGTGGATGTCGGATGTCACTGAAGTCTTAGAGCCTATAAACGCGCATTGACTCAACAAATAAAATAAGCGTGGTGCCTGCATGTCCAGAAGATGTCCCTTTATACCTCGTGATGTGGCCTTTGTCGCTGGCGCTTTGTTCAAGGCGCCAAGTGATAAGTTGTTGGCAGTTGAATATATAATAATATACTGCTAACAAGTCTCTGTTATCTTCACCGGGACGAACGCGGCGCTAGCGAGATATTTGATTCTCGATTTTTTAATTCTACTGCACTGTTAAATGCTATTAGAACGGGAGTCTGATAACAGGGCATTCCCGTTATGCGACTTCTTAAAAGCTTTTTTACCGATAGTCGATTCTATTCCTCACGAAAGGTATACACGCATGTAAGTAGGTGTACTCTGCACCTAAGATCGACCCCAGTGGCCGAGTGGTAGACCTCTGGAACTGGGACCGGGAGGTACCTAAACCGATACCCGGTGGGGGTTCGATTACAGGGCGCCGGAGATAGGCCGATATAGTAGACGAGCAATCACGCAGAAGTGGCCGCCCTGCCAACCCGCGCAAGGCGTGTGATAGTTGGGTGGGCTGGAGGCCCTTCTGGCCAAAAGCACCATAGTGTAATGAGTGGTGCGGGTCCTGTAAGAAGTTCAAACTGAGTCAGAGTACTCGCAGTTCACCCCAGGGTGATCTGAAGGACCGCGCGGCATAGTTATCTCTGCACCTAAGATCGTGGGTGCAGTGCTTCGTTACTACTTTGATGAAAATAAGTGAGTAAATACTCATTATTTGCCACTTTGATGCGACCTTTACATTAATTCTTCTTCTTGACTCCAAGCAAATCAAACTCATTATGCTACGGGATAAGCTATAAAAAGAAAAGTCAGAGTTGAGATTAATTTTAGTAGCACGCGCTTAACGCGTGTGGTCTCCTTTCCCTGACTTGTGATTTCTAGTGCGTAATTATCTAACTGACCCCAACCCTCCTTCAAAGAAAATGTTTTCAAGATACCGGGCAGAATTTAATTGACAATAGCAAGAACAAAATGGAAAGAGGTGGACTAGAGCTGGTCAAGACAGTTACGGTTGATCAGGATACAGTGATCCGGGGATAGGTCAAAACATTTATGGTCGATTCAGACTTATCAATCCAAAACAGGTCAGAACACATTACGGTTAATTCGGTAAGAAACATGGGTCAAGTCAGGATAGTTACGGTTCTTTCGGATGAAGTGGTCTGGGAAAGGTCAAGCTAGTTTCGGGTGATTCAAATGAATTCTCTAAGACCTTAAATAAAGTTTTTGGGTAATTTATAAGAGAGCCGATACTATCAAAGACAAAGGAGAAATATGTTTCGATCGAGACGGTATATGTAATACAATGTTCTCGGGGCGTTGATCTGGAAAATGTTCGGAAGTAATGTGGCAGTCGATGTAAGGACCAAAATCGGCGATGAAAATATGCAACGATGAAAGAAGTATACGATGAGGCAAATAAATGATCCTGAATTTCACCGCTGTGACGATTGGCAAGCATTTCATACTAGATATGGGATCAAAGGGATCAGCAGTCAGCGGAAAGTCAACGTCACAAAATGTATTCTTGATTATTGGATGCCGTCTCAATTTTCATAAATATTTCTGATACATGGAGTTGTGGTGAAGTGCGTTCGACACAAATCATGGACCCTGAGACTATCTGAATGAAGGGTCATGGGCATACTTGCAAATAAAGGCTTTATAACGAGAAGTGAAGGGGAGACCGGTACTTGGTTATGGGTTTAGGGGTGCCTAGAGTAGATAATTACAAAATTTAATTGGTCAAAATATACCCAAGCGTAGACTGCTTTCCTCAAGGGTAGACGTCGGTCCCTCACTAGAAGATAAATCCCCTCACTATTAGAACTGGGTCCCTCGAAGGTAGACCTGGTCTCTCACGCACATACCTGTTTCTAACGATAAATGATTGGTTCTTTGTCGGTTGACCTTGGTTCCTCATCGGTTGACCGAAGTCCTTCAAGAATTGGCTGCTAGTGACCACTCAAATTAAGATCCGGAGCACAATGTCACAAAAGAGTAACTAAGTTAAGGGGTTGATCAGTATTAAATTTTACTCGATTTTCGATCTTCGTGGCACAAAGTGATTGTGCATTAAGGAACTTGGATGTCTGCTCGCCTGTTCCGTTAAAGGGATGTATGTACTCTGAAAGCTTTCAAAGACAGTTACAAGGTCATTCTCACGTGTAAATCGAACCCCAGGAGTTATTTGGTATAAAATCTGGTCGAGTGGCAACACCCCACTTAAGCCCCCCTAACCGAAGTGATCTCTCTACAACACAGTTAGGGCGAAAAATAAATGCCAAGAGGTTACAAACCTTAAGACAACAAAAAAGCAGGAGCGAAAAGCTATCTGAAGATACTGGATGAAAGTCTACTCTCGCCTTCTTTTTATTGATCGGGTACTTAACGTTCCACACAGTGAAGCCAATCCAGTTGGGTCTTAATCCTATATCTTTTAAGACTTATACCTCTTCCTCTCCGCTTAAAACCTGCCAGCGGGTAAGTACAAAAGGTTAGTCAAGGTCCATACGTGGAATCTGGGTACTCCCTTTGTAGGTCGGCGGTCCCGCGCAGGGTGTATCACGGGGGTCAACACGCAGCAGATTACGAACTTACTCCTACCATAATATCAATCCAGATATATTCAGTTGCATGACCTATAATTGTGATCTATTCTTGACATTCAGAGTAAAATGAAAATCAGGTGAATGAAGTAGCATTGTTTGGAGTTTAGACTATCATATTTGGACACCTTTTTGAAGAGGGCCACCTGAATGAAGTAGATATAAGTTTGAGGAGCATCTGCAGGGTAGGGTGGACTTAGTGACATTTGTTTTGCTTTTGATTGAAGTTAGTCACAAGCAAACTTGAATTCGACTCCTTCTGCACACGACACAATTCCCCCTTATCCAAGAAATACAACTGTGGATTCCTGACGACTAAAAGTGCGTCTGTCCCATTTCACACAAGGTCGGTCACGACCAAAGTGAAGCCCTATCCTGGATTGCTTTGCCTGGATCATGCAAGTCATTAAGCGAGACAACTGCTATCGGACCAAGCAAAATAGAAAATTTATATCGTATGGCCAAGATCGACAAGCCGATCTGGCTCATACCGATCTGGTGCACCGCAGTCAAAGGATCTCAAAGTGATCATAGAGAAGATCAAACGACAAGCAATAAGATCTGAATCAAGTGGGATTCATCTTCTGCAACAAGAACCAAGAGATATAATGAAAGATCGAAGTGGCCTCAACAATGACTGACACAAGAACACTCCGCTTGCTGTGTGGAGATTCCACACCGTGGTCAACCTTGATTCCAGACTTCTAGAATCAACACCTTTGAAGTCCGTAAGGAAGAGCTTACTTTAAATATGGCTTCGATTATACCAGGTAGGTCAAAAGTCTGTACAACAAGGCATGAATCCGAGTACCTCCTCCGAAGTTTGACAAGTCCGGGAGAAAGAAGTTTAAGACTTTATTCAGTGTGGTGGAGTGGGGTTCGCTCATTTTTTGAGGCGATCCCGACTCTCCACTGGCGCCCAGACGACCGACTAACGGACGGGGTACTCCGATTCCGCTTGCACTTGTTTCCTCCTCACCTTGTGTACTCGTCGGCAGGGCGGGTTGCACTCTTCTAGGTGGACTCGACGAGATGCTGAACTTGACCATTGTAGAGATTGGTGCTGATCGGGTGGAAAATCCTCACCCGATCGCGTGTTCTGGGTTGGCGCTCTCCTAGAGTCGCCGTGATCTGCCCTGATCACCTTGTGCCAAAATGTGTACTTGAGTCGCGAGCCTTTCTGGCCACTTGAACGGCCCTCGCGATCTTGTACTTCAACCGATACGGTTGGCTGCGTCCGATCGCAGTAGGGGTGTGTTGAGAGTCCTAGCACTCCTGGCCAAATAGCTCCAGGGGTGATCGTTCTATCTTTGATGTCGAAATTCTCAGACGTCGGGAGGCCAAAATATCCAACCCGGGAGAAGATCGACACGAATGTGTTTAGAAGCAAATTGAACTCTGTTTAATGTTAAACAATTAGACCCTCACACTTTACCCCTATAACTCGGAAAAATCAGATGCCACGCGTCGCCTCTACAGATCGCCCCTTGTATCCATGTGGCACAGACCTGACACACCACCCGTCTGATCGCATCAGGGCATGGTCCACGCCAGATCGCGGTTCCCTCAATCGCGGTCCCCTGATCGCGGTCCCTCAATCACATTCCCCTGATCTCGGTCCCACAATCGCGGTCCCCTGATCACGGTCCCTCAATCGCGGTCCCATGATCGCGGTCCCTTGATCGCGGTCTTCTGATCGCGGTCCCTTGATCGCGGTCCCTTCCGCCGTTCTGAACCGTTCTGACCGGATGAGATATTTCCGTGAATGATCCCAACGGTGCCATCCATATGATTGGTCCTCGTCCCACGATCATTCCGCCGGTCCTTACTCCGTACTTAGGCATACGTTTGAGGTTTTACGTTAAAACACCGATCTTGATCGACTTTACCACAATCGCCCCCTGCACAAATAGCCGATCTGCAACATCTGGCTCGCTTGTGCACGTTTTAGTCACCACTTTCCGTTTTATCCTCTCGTTGCCTTCCATGGTTTCCTCGTCGTCCACGCCCATCTTGCCACCAGCTAGTTGTGCGCCATCTCCCTCGGTGGTGACTCAATCTGGTCCCACACCTTCGGTCGGTGTTGACGTTTCGCCACGCGGACACCTAACTGACCCCGATTCCTCTACAGACGCGGCTGAAGGTACCTCGGTGAGCGGAGGTCCGATCGGCCCTGCTTTGGGACTCGATGCTGTTGTGGACCTCGCTTCAAGTACGGAACCGATCGGCTCCACGATGACGCCTGATGTCCTTGACAGTTCCGCTTCAAGTGACGAGCCGATTGGGGTCGGAGAATTTGCTGCAACCACTGATCCGATGAGCTCCGCATTGACGCTTGATGTCGTCGAACAATTTTGCTGCAAGTGGCGACCCTATTGGGGCTATTCTGTTGCCGACCACTCGAGTTTAAACACCGATAGGTGATGAAACGACCGCGGTTGGTATGATCGCTGGACTTTATCAGCGGATCGCATCCCAGCAGGATCTTGTGGATAGCTATCGCGATCTGGAGCAAGCGTTGCGGGAGCAAACTTGGAGGGGTGATCGACTAGAACGGGAACTCCGTTCTCTTACCGAGTCGGCCTCTCCTTTGTGATCTTCGCTCAAACTCGTTGTGATCGCCTTCGTCTGGATTTGAAAAATGCACTCGCTGAAGTCGCTTTGCTTCAGGAGACAATTCGCGCGGGGGATTGCTACGAGCAGCAAATTAGCGACCTAAAGTCGAAACTTCTAAAAACGACCCGATCACTTTATACGTTTAAAGAACGTCATGATCTCGAGCTAGCTTCTTTGCGACGACACATGGATGAGGGGAACGCTCGATTTCAAGCCGCACTCTTGAAGGCCAAATCTAAGAGAACCAAGTACAAGGCAGACTGTACCAAGGCTCAGACCACGGTTCGCCACCTGCATGCTGCTTTTGCCGCTGTATCAGTGGGGCGAGATCAACTTCGGGATGATCTGGCTGAGTTGGAAGCTGAGTATGAACGATCGCGCTCCTTGCTCTCCGATCGTGACGATCGAGTGGATCTGCTTCAAGCTACTATCTCGGGTTTGGAGCTAGAGCACGATCAGGCGTTGCGCGATCGCGACGTTCTTCAAACGAGCATCGCCGCGCTCGTTACCGGCCCCAGTTTACCTTCCTCGTCCCGTCCAGTTGAGACGGCCCAAACTACGAGTGCTCGTGTCAAACGCCCTAGTACTTCCGCTCTAACACCTCCTCCGCGGACCAAGAGAGCCAGAATCGAGGCTACCCCGCAATCGGTCGTCAAGATGACACCCAAGACTCATTCTCCGACTGTGTCCGGTATCATCGCTGAGCTTTCTCCGCCGTGTAAAACCCCGAAGAACAACCCTTCCCGATCACCCCACAGTTCCACACGATCTCAAGCAAAACTTACGCCCAAGACTCCCGCTCTTCCCGGACCTGGTGTTCGAACAGGCAAAGGCAGAGCGCAAAATCCGACGCCTGCTCCAGCTAGCTCGGATGATGACGATTCATCGGATGCTGGGCCTCGAACCTTGGCTGCACTCTCCCGATCACGCTCTTTGATGCCACCCTGGGGCAGAAAAAGTAGCAGTTCACTTTGTCGACTTCGTAGTCTGGTGAGATTAGTGCGCAAATCTTTGCGTCTCTAGCACTTAGCGTGGCTATATCCCCGATCAGATATGTCTTCAAGTCCGACTTCCAACTCTCCTCATCTTGCGCCTGGTTTATGCGTTCGATCCGGACTTGTTGTACAATTTCTTCTTGTAAAACTGTCTGGGGGCATCCTCTTCGCGTCGTTGATCGCGTGATTGCGGCTGCCTTGAATGGGTGGTTAGTCTGTTTTGGTATCAGTAGTTCATTTAACCGATTAAGGGTCACGAGAACGTCTCGTTCTTGGTCTGATACTGCGACAGTTCCTTTCTCCTGACGTTACGCCTCGCTCGCTAGTCGATCAGTACTCTGGTTCCAGTCCCGTTTCACATGTAGCAATTCGTGTTTTGGCCACGATCGGAGTTTCTCCATTGCCTTATGTTTCAAAAGTTGTAGACCTGGTGCTTTACAGTCGATTTCACCTCGCATCTGTCTTATTACCAAGTTCGAGTCACCACAAAAGATCACCCGACCTCTGATCTGATCGGACAGTGACTCCAGACCCAGCAACAGCCCACGATATTCAGCCTCGTTTACCGTCAAATCTTCCGCAAATTCTGAAGTAGCCACCACGATCTTCCATTCAGGCAACATTCATATTATTGCGCTGTAAGCGCCACCTTTCTTCTTTACCCTAGCCGATCCATCGAAACTGACCACCAGGACACTTTCGTCTACTTCGACTGTGGGTGGTGGCATACTAATGTTTTTCCGTGGTTGTTTCCTTGGAGCGATCGCGATCAGCACTTCATCTACATCCTTTCGAGGTGTTATACTTGCAGCCAGCGTACCTAGCACTTCGTCTTCGCCTTTTTCGAACTGTCTGATATCTAACGTCCAGTTCGATAGAAACGCCGCCCATCTCCCTAGTCTTCCGTTAAGACCCGACGACTTCAATAGCCAAGCCAACGTCGAGTATCTTGTAAGCACCATAATCTCCCGCGAAACCAACATCGTATAACAAATGTCTAACATTCGGAGGAGGGCTAGTACTTCTTTCTCAACAATTCCGTAATTGACTTCGTTGGATTTCAGCGTGCGACTAGAAAAAATGACAGGCCAATACGTGCCGTCATACTCTTGAAGCAATGCGGCTGATACCGCCCACTTACTGGGGTACACCACAATCACCGGTGCTCGATCTGGATCGAAATGTCTTAAGATCGGTGTTTCAGCAATTTTGCCCTTTAGCAAGTTAAAAGCCATCACTGCTTCCTTCCATCGACTTCCATTTCCAGAATCTAAATCGCCCCCTGTTTTTTGGTCTAGATCGTCGCAGGACTCATTTCGCGAATCGTGATCACGCTCGGGTTCACTGTTGGATACAATTATCCGAACTTCTTTATCTTGGCTGATCTCGTGGAAATCTGCTTCCCGTAGCTCGTAGAGCACGGACGCATATATGGCGAAGTCTTCGATAAAACGACTGTAGTAATTTAGGCTCACCAAGAATGATTGCATTGATCGCAGAGTTCGAGGGAAGGGAATATTCGCAATTGAGTTTAAATCCTTGGGGTGGGCTTCCAACCCTTTGTGTGAAACTTGGTGGCCTAGATAGTCGACCTTACAGCGTCTCCAGAAACTCTTTGCTACACTGATCGGTAGGTTCCATTGGTTACACACCTCTAGAAATCGTTCCACCTTTTCATACAGGGATGACCAGGATTCAGCAGGTATCAAGATGTCATCGATACAGGACCTTCGGCCTAAAACGGATGGTCTTGGATCTGTGTCCGGCACTCCGTCAGTGAACACATCGGTTGGTGTCGACGATGGTACTGCATGCGAGTTAGGTGTTGGGTCGATCTTGAGATAATCATATAGTGCATTGTCGATAAGTCGTTGGTATATCTGGGGAGCGTTTTTTAGCCCAAAAGGCATTCGCAACCATTCAAACAAACCCGACGGCGTGATGAATGCAGAAATAGCTCTTGCTCGTTCCGTCATTTCCACTACCCAAAAACCACTCGCCATATCTATCGAGCAATACCACATCGCTTTATCCAAGTCTTGTAATAATTCGCTGATTAGTGGCATGGGGTATATCATCAACCTTGTCAACTGATTCACCCTCCTGTAATCGATGCACAGCCGTATGTCCTCCCCATTTTTCTTGATAATCACCACGATCGGAGAAGCCCAAGGTGAAATGGACGGTTGAATGATCTTGGCTGATAATAATCCCTTGATCAGTTCCGCCAATTTTTCTAGATAGTTAGGTGCCACCGGCCGTACTCTTTGCGCGATCGGTTTGGCACCTCCAACATCAAAGTCACATACTGCTCCACGCGCAGCTGGAGGCAAGGCGTTCCCTTTGCCTATGAGTAAGTGGCGATTCTTCACAAACAGTTGCCTCTGCTTCTCCTGATCGTCTGTCAGCGGGACACCTGGATCGCCAACCTGGATGTCATCTATAGCCACTTCCTTTGTGGGCGCAATTATTTCTGGCAAGAGTGCCATATGTTGGTCCACATCTTCCGCAAATAAATCCCCACCATCGTGGCGATAAGCCACCGATTTCGTTTGAGTCTCGTCTGTCACGTCTCCCTCGCGATTCAGTACTGTAGCATTCTGTGTCTTTTGATCTGACAATTCGAGCTCTTGATCGTCTCCGACCGGGTGATCATCGCCGATCGCGATCTCTTGTGCTTGTCTGATTACGTCGTCCGAGTGTTCCTGTGACCGATAGCCCTCTTCTGCCTTCACTGCGGTATTGACCACGGCAGGTGCCTCTAGTGATCGCTGCTCGTCGCTGTCGGGGCGATCCTCTTTCACGATCTGGCGTTCTGTGACATCCGTCATCTTTGCTTATGGATCTAAAAGATCTGATCGGCTTTCCTCCATATTCCTTCCTTGTTTATCTCTGGGGTTCAGAATCTTTTTTGGGATGAAGTATGACTGGTGATTCACTAAGTGCCTCGAATTCTCGATCGGGTGTTTCTTGGTTGATTCCGTTGTAGCTTCAAACGCCAGAGTCTGCCATTCATTATACCTGCATGATCCAACTGATACATAGCCCGGCGATCGGGGTATCATGTCCGTCAGCATCCACCACCCTAAAGGGATATCGTGATTGAGAATCACCTGCTGATCGACGATGTTGGTCAGTATCAAGTACTTGATCTGGCCCGGTTTAGTATTCACCGTCGGCACCCATTTTTTATCCCGTCTCACCCTTAGTTTGGACTTAGGGAAACCTGCTCCAATCCTCATCTCCGTGGATTCTCCAGCAGAAATTACTATATGTTGGTCCGGGATAACGATCGGTTGCATATTTACCCCACAAGGAGGCCTGCGCCCTGCCAAGTAAATTTTCACCCCATCTGGCAAACAAAGCGTACCGTCCGCCAGATCTAACCGTATTCCCGCTGGCACCATAAAGTCCATGCCTAAAATCGCTTCTTGGCCCACTTGATCGCCCACCCAAACGTCAAAGTAATACACCAGCGTTCCGTTTAATGTGATCTTGATTTTGGTACGTCCTTCCGTCATGTAGGCATTCTCCCCGATTCCCACACATTCCTGTCTCTGGCTGTCATCAATCACACATCCCACCTTACGAACAAATGTGGCGTCTATGATTGAGAATTCGGCTCCAGAATCGAATAGCATGGTGGCCTTCTCGTTACTGTTTTTACCCACCGCTTTAGCCTGTCTGAACCATTTTCCTGGCGTGTGATATTTCCATTATCCTCTCGATTACCCCGGCGCTAGATCGAGTTCCATCTTAACGGGAGATCATGAATGTTCATCCACCTTTTTTACATTTAAAAATGTCACACAACCGATGGTGTTCCAAATCGCATGCGTTAGCGGTCGGGTCGATCCGATTGTTACTCCCTTGATCGGTCCTTCCCTTCTCCACATATGCATATATGCAAATCCTAGAACGCTACGCTCGTACCAGATTCAAACCTGCCAGTGTCCTAGTTTAACATCTCTTCTGCCTTGGTCGGTAGTAGTCCTGCGTGCTTGGTTGGTACGTACCACTTGCGGATCAGGTTGTAGAACTCTTTCATGGGACATTGGCCGCTCTCGTGAACTTCCCCACAAGCGATACACACACATAGACATTTGTCCGAGGGGTGCCCTTTTCGGCCACACTTCTACAAGGTCAATCTTTTCCAGCATCCGCGATCGTAATGTCTTGTCGAGCCGCAGTATGTGCAGGCTTTCGCAACTCTGCCCCGATCGCGATCATGATCTAGGTCTGTCTTTCGCGATCTGTCTCGTTGATCCCCTGGGTCTGCAGCCTGATCAGTGATAGTCTTCACACAAACCTTACGGCGAAAATCTTCTTCATTTGCATCGTCCGAACTTGAGCCTGAGTCGCTTTCCTCACTTTCTGCACGAATGGCCTTCACCATCCGTGGTGTCTTCGAATATACTTGGGCTGGCGTCGTAGCCGATCGCGATCGGTACTTGTTCGAGTCAGTCGGATCCTTATTCTGTCGAAAACTCATACGCTGACAAGCGCGTAGAGTTTCTTCCATCGTGTTAGCATCATGCACTCGCAATAGGGTCAGTTGCTTCGCCAACTCTCGATCATCCAAAGTGTCAATGAAGTGTTCTACATGCTCACGTCGGCTTGCTGGCGATCCATCTCTGAACGCCACTTTTGCTCGCATTCCTGCTACATTCAACCGGTCCAAGTATTCCAACGGGGTTTCATTCGGTCTCTTCCGCGCGTGGTAGTATTGTCTTCCAGCTGACATTCCATATCCTCCATATCGGACCATGAAGCCTTCCGACAACGACTTCCAATCATCGCGGGTCGATCGGCTCAACTGGCTGTACCAATTTCGGGCAGGTCCTGTGAGCAGGTCTCCAAATACCAGACATTTCTCGTCTTCTGGAGCCTGATCGCGTAAAAAGGCAGTCTTCATCTTGTAAAATTAACCTTTAGCACGTTCTTCGTCTTGATCACGTCCTGAAAATTCTTTCAGATCGGCCATCGCCGACAATCTAATTTTCTGTGCGCTGAAACCTCCCGTAGGGGCGGTTCCTGCAGTTGCCACTTGTGGTCGTCTTAGATTATATGGTCCCCTGCGATCTGACTCATGTTCTCCCGGTCGATCGCGGTATGAGTCTACTGACTCCATTTCGACGTCTGGGACGATCGGGTAGTTATCTCCTTGTTCTTCGCGATCGCGAATGAATTTGTCCATGGCGGCCTTCAAACATGTTTGCAACTGGCTTGGCTCCACCGTATTTGCATTCTGTGAAGCCGGAATTTGAGTCGATCGTATTCCATTGTTAGCCGGGTCGAGCCTGTTTTTAAGCATTGCTGCCCCTGTCGGTCCCAGCAACATCCGCTGCATCCCAAACGACTCGTCTGAGTCCATATCTGATTCTGCCGAGGCATAGCGTGACGACCCCGTGTATTCCTCTTTCACATTGTGGTCGGTTGACTCTCTCCCTTGGCTCAGGTGTCCTTCTTCACTCTTGATTCGCTGGCTCAGATGTCCTTCTTCACTCTTGATCCGTTGGCTCATAGGGTTAGGAGACCCTGTCAGTGGAGTTAGCTTTTCGAATAGTAGCTGTCCTGCTTTGATCACCCGATCGTGATTAAATTCTAAAACCGTTTGTGCGTCGAAAGCTCCAGCTATAAATCCAGCGTCTCTTAGCAGCTTAATAAGCCGATGCAATGCCTCCAACTGATTCGATATCACTTTCGGTGGCGATACTGGACCTTGGATCTACCCGATCAGCTTAGGTTTCAGCACCTTTAGGACTGGGTCTTCTGCAAGAAGTTTCTTCAGTTGTTGCCAATGGAATTCCCAGGTGATCCGTTCCAATTGCCAGCCTTCTGATTCCACATCCTGACCTTCTGCCTTGATCTCTTGCTTGTTTCGATGTGGCTCTGCCGTCTTCGTCTTTGAACGGGCCAACTTAGGAGTGTGTTTCCTCGCCTTTGGTTGGGCGGTAGTTTTGGATGAAGATCTTTCAGTTTTTACTGAAGGATTTCCATATGGCAGATCGTGCTTTGCAGCACGATCCGCGGTGGTCCCCGAAGGGACCTCAGGAGGGGGTTGAGGTTTTTCTTCCAGATCAGCTTGGTGATCTTCCTCTTTGACTTTATTGTCATCATAGCCCCTCCCAAAACTATGATGATCTTGGGATCCTTTCTCTTCGCGCGTCTGTGGCGATCCAAATTCCGCTGACACTCCAATCCCAGGTTCAGTCTTGATCTTAACATCTTCATCTCGGGACTCACGGTGAAATGCCGAGTCACCAGAAGATCCGGGCACGCGCACCATTGTGGTGGAGTGGGGTTCGCTCATTTTTTGAGGCGATCCCGACTCTCCACTGGCGCCCAGACGACCGACTAACGGAGGGGGTACTCCGATTCCGCTTGCACTTGTTTCCTCCTCACCTTGTGTACCCGTCGGCAGGGCGGGTTGCACTCTTCTAGGTGGACTCGACGAGATGCTAAACTTGACCGTTGTAGAGATTGGTGCTGATCGGGTGGAAAATCCTCACCCGATCGCGTGTTCTGGGTTGGCGCTCTCCTAGAGTAGCCGTGATCTGCCCTGATCACCTTGTGCCAAAATGTGTACATGAGTCGCGAGCCTTTCTGGCCACTTGAACGGCCCTCGCGATCTTTTACTTCAACCGATACGGATGGCTGCGTCCGATCGCAGTAGGGGTGTGTTAAGAGTCCTAGCACTCTTGGCCAAATAGCTCCAGGAGTGATCGTTCTGTCCTTGATGTCGAGATTCTCAGACGTCGGGAGGCCAAAATATCCAACCCGGGAGAAGATCGACACGAATGTGTTTACAAGCAAATTGAACTCTGTTTAATGTTAGCCAATTAGACCCTCACACTTTACTCCTATAACTCGGAAAAATCAGATGCCACGCGTCGCCTCTACAGATCGCCCCTTGTATCCATGTGGCACAGACCTGACACACCACCCGCCTGATCGCATCAGGGCATGGTCCACGCCAGATCGCGGTTCTCTCAATCGCGGTCCCCTGATCGCGGTCCCTCAATCACATTCCCCTGATCTCGGTCCCACAATCGCGGTCCCCTGATCACGGTCCCTCAATCGCGGTCCCATGATCGCGGTCCCTTGATCGCGGTCTTCTGATCGAGGTCCCTTCCGCCGTTCTGAACCCTTTTGACCGGATGAGATATTTCCGTGAATGATCCCAACGATGCCATCCATATGATTGGTCCTCGTCCCACGATCATTCCGCCGGTCCTTACTCCGTACTTAGGCATACGTTTGAGGTTTTACGACACCGATCTTAATCGACTTTACCACATCAGCAGTTTTTGGATTTAAGTTTGCCACGATGGTGCTTGTGCCTGTACTATGTAATCCATTGAGAATTTCAATGAATGCACTTCCATTTTTTCAAAATTGGGCGAGAAACTGGGATGTGAGTGACAGCTTTGAAAGGACAATTTACTTATGCTAAATTACAAGATCCACGGATCGCCGAAATTTTGGATGAAATTCTAACGATGTTATTCTAGTGGAGAAACATCGATGAATTTTTTTTGAAGTAACACCTCAACTCCCTTCCCGACGTCCCTCTTACAGCCACTGCAGAATTAATTTGCGTTGCGATCTGTTGGATAACTTTTAAACCCTAAAAGCAGCCTTTTTTCATATATTGTCAATATTTAGACAAGGAAAATGTCAAACATTTTCTTCTTATTTACGCGAAAAAAACTTTAACGCCTGGATTGGATGAAGCGGGTCACCACACCAGCGATATTCATAAAAAAACGGTAGCAGGCGGGTGAATTAGTCTTTATGAATTGGCCGAGATCTCGGTACCGAAGATCAAGTGCAAGATTGTACAGATTGCAGAGCAGAAGACTAAAATGGCAAGGTGAAGTAAAGATTGTGTAAATAGAAAAAGCAGTTCTAGTATAACAAGCTGAAGATAATGCTGGAAACGAAATCAGTGTTCTAGATCCCAAATTTGTAATAAATTGAATCGGTCGGCAAATCGATCGCAATTACAGCCTCGTGACCAGTCCGATCGATGCAATCACTCTTATTAATTGGATGTTGAAGGATGCAGGCTTGTGTCCAGATGTACCAGAAGCAAATTGTCTATTATGGTGCAGCTTGAATCATCTCATGAGCGCATTTAGATGAACTTTATAAGATCTTGATATCCCTGAAAGGCAAGGTAGCCACACCCGAGGACACGATCGTGATATAGTATGACTTGACTCGCTAAAAAAAAACCCGGATTCATCACTATAAGTCTCTAATATCTTAAAATGAATACTGACGGATTAAACAGTATTTGTCGGATGTCCCTTGGCCCATCAGGAAAATCTATTATAATTTTGTTCTGGAGTCACAATCGAGCCTTTACACGTGCAGCCCCAGAATTGATACTGAAACATCACCCGAGGTCGCTGTGGACAGATCAAGCAATAGCGATCTTAGCTGTTCAGATTAACACTTTAATACCCCGACGAAGAAGCATTTGGCGGAACAAAAGACGATTTTTTTTAAATTAATTAAATTGTAGGTCGGGTTGGGCACCACCAATCTCACTTCAAATGTTGTGAAAAAACAGATGTGAACATGAAATGAGTGGGATCGATTCATCTTCTGCGATATGCGAAATATGATTCGGAAGACTTATACGTGTACCGAAACCAAGAAGAAACAAGTAGCTGTAATCTAAGACGCAATAATTGTTTTTAGAGTAATGGCAATTTTGGAGTTAAAGAGTTCTTGGGAAAGGATCGGGATTAAGATCGACCTCAGGGATGGATCGGCAAAATTTAGTCGAATTTTACTCTTTGGTCAAGCTTCAGATGATGAAAAGTGTTTGGTGTTTAACGACCTAATTTTGGGTTCGTCCCGCTACTAACATCGCCTATGTAGCAGCTCACCAAAATCTAAATGGAAGGACCTAAGCGGATTTACTAGGTGGAGGATGTCTACATGGAGTATAGTAAAGTCGACAGTTCTACACGCAAAGCAAAATACCTGACGAAACGTCTTTTGAATATAAGTAACGTCTCAACATGATTAGAAATGCACGCGAAGATATAAGTACCTTTTTTCAGCTGAGTGCAAGGAACGTATCGAACATCTTATCGAGGCTCTGATCAATACGAATTTCACCAACCAACTGATGCCATGATAAGTAATAGACGCAGCAACGATTTAGATGACGCTATGATAAGTACTAAGGGGGATTTTTAACGTATGAAAAGGAAATGATAAGATTGTTGATGAAAATTCGGCGGGATTTAGCATTAACTACGGAGCCATCTCAACCCCCGTGAGATCAGTGGAGGCGACCCTAACAGAGAAAATCAGGATATTGTCGGAATATGTAACGGGGAGCCCGTTACATGATATTGACACCAAACGGCGTCAATAGGGATATTGTCCAGTGTGACAATTGCCTGACAATATAACCCAAAGTCGGTAATATTTGAAGAAATAGTATCCCCTTTTAGGATAATATTCATGCGCTGTTCCAAGATTGGTTGATAAAGACATTTCAACCATGGATTACCACCAATCGCTGCTAGACGCGCGCAATGAGTGGTAAGCAGGTTGTCGTCATACGACGGCGTAGTTTAGCATAGTTCAATAAAGATTAAAGTTAAATTGATAGCTCAACTATACTAAATGCAGTGCTCTTTTTACCCTTTGCTTAAACTAGCTGTTTAAGTAGATTAGCTTCATCTGCACGGAATGTTGTACGTGAAGTTTCGCGGCACCCCAAACAATGAGTGCCCTGTTACACCTGGTAGCACTTCGTAGTCCGTCCAACGACTACTAAGTGTCCACCCAAATACATGAACATGTTGGACGTAGAAGACGAAAGTTTTCACGTCACACGTGAAGGCTACTCCCATCCGATTGACTCAGAATGGGAGATAGTCGGCCACATAAGTGTGCTCATGGGCGAACCCGCCACCAGTGGCATGTTGGCGTCTCTAAGCAGAGACCAGCAACATACTGCTATCAACAAGCTCCTACAAGGGAAACTTGCCGCAGAAAGACAGAAGATAGCTTTGCTACAACAGAAAGACTCTCATCAGTCGATGGACAGACCGACGCACATGCGTCGACCTGAAACCTTGAAGATTGATATCTCAAGGTAAAAGGGAACCGATGAAGATTCCCTTTTGAGAAGGTTTGTTGAGTAAGACGACGCCATCAGGGCCCGTCACATCGAGGGTGACGAGATGCAAGTCACCTTCGCCCTGTTAAATTTGACAGGACGAGCAAAGACTTGGGCCTCAGGGCTTAATCTTCACAGCCCAAACGTGTTTGAGTCGTTGGTGGTCTTAAGGTCTCGGCTCAAAGAACGTTTGAGCCGCCACGATCCGAGTTCAGAGCACCTCTGCACTCCTATGGCTCAAGCCATGTAAACGTGATGTGCACGCTTACGCACAACACCTATGCTACCTTGCGAGTAACATCACGGAAAACCCTGTTGATGAGCGCACGCTCATCAAAGTGTTTATCTACGGTCTCGTGGATAGAAAAGTGAAGACCTGCATGATCCGAGAGGACTTGCATACGCTGGAAAAGGCGACAGCGTATGCGGAACAAGAAGACTGTAGTCTGAGACGGTCTCAGGCTAACTCGGTGTACTATCGTCCGATGAGACGACAGGAAACAGGAGGTCCCGAAACAATGGACGTCTGTTACATTGAAAGTGAGATCTCTCGCTCTCTGAGTCACAAGCGAACGGCAAGAAGCCATCGCTGTCAGAAGACTGGACAATACGCTCAAGAGTGTAGTGTCCTAAGCACCGCAACACGTCCAAAGACAGGACATGACGACCATCGTTGGCCAAGGAAGGGTCTGAGGCGTGGTTCCGACCATGTCGATAAGCCCGACAGCAAGTCGGACCGTCAAAAACGGTCAGGGTCAGCAGGGGTGGAGCACCCTGCTGATCCAGTAACGTCAAGAGAATTTGCAGGACTCTTAACGAAGATTGCTCCCAGCACACAGTCGCTGTGTGTTGCTGACCCCAGTGATAAGGAATCCCTCACCACTTTGAAGATTAAAGTGACAAGTGAAATTTTACTTCGCGCCCTAGTTAACTGTGGGGCGTCGAAAAGTTTTATTAGACGCCAGTCGCAATGGGATAGTAGTCTCAACTTTGTTGGGCGAGAGTTTCCTCCGACGAGGATGACGGTGTTCCTTGCTACAGGCACATCCGTAACAGTGAGCAAACGTGTAGCGGGGACCACTACACGCTAGAAGGAAGACAGTACGATCATGACTTCACCGTACTGGATTTGAATG